AGGGTGGTGTAGAATTTGTGGCCGGCAATTTTGGCGAGGATATCCTCAATGCGCGGGAGCGGATAATGATCCGGGACTGTCACCTCGTTCAACGGGCGAAAATCGAGGCAAACGCGTAAAGAACCGTCTTTTTTCTTTACCAGAACCGTGTTGTGGATCCACGGGGTGTCGCTTTCAACGATGCGCCCTGCGCGAAGGAGCTTATTGATGTGGTCATCCAGCTCTTTCTGGAATTTTACCGGGATTCGAGGGGGACGGAAACGAGTAGGTGGTGTTTCCGTCGTTGTCTTAATGACTATTTCCGACTCCTCGTAGGAGCCTAAATCGTAGGATCCTGTGGATATTCTGTCCCTAAATTCATAAAATAATTGAGCGAGCTGCTCACGCTCTTCCTCAGACACTTCGGCATGAGATAAATCGATATCGGAGGAATCAATATGAGTCTTGGTTTCAGGGCGATCCGCCCTCAAAGAAAAATTTCCCACAAAGGTGAAGGATCTAGCACTGATGTGGAAAGGAGTGTTGACTCACCTTCAAGGAGTGGTACAGCCGATGAAAGGTGCTGTCCTTTATAGAGCGTTTCCGGTCTGGGAGATGGATTAGCTACCAAAAGAAGTGGATCGTTCGTGTTGATCACAGCTGGTGTCACCATTAAGGATTTTTCTGAAAGCTTTTCGCTTTGTGTGATCAACATTAATGGACCGGAATCGATCCCTTCCGTCCGACACCTCACAAAGGTCTCGGCTGCGGGAGGGAGTACGGTAGTTTCGGCGACGCGGACCGCCACCAGCTGATCGGGTGTCGCTGGCGCTTCGTCAGGAGCCGCATTATTTTGGGGTGTTGGTCGGCCATCCGCAGCGTGCGATTACCGTAATCGATTGACCACGGGGGAAGTTTGCGCAGTAGATCGTTTCCCAGAATTATATTATAAGTGTCGGCAACGTCGGAATGCAAGCCGACTTTGTAAAGTAAACCGGATGGTTGAATGATAATGAGCCGAATTTCAAATGAAAGAAATGCGTATCCCATGAGATGAACGGGTACCCCTGCCATGCCTACGCGCTAGTTACATCGCTTTTAGCGAGGTCGAAGGCCCCGAACAGCAGGCATGGCTTCGACCGACGTGATGATTATTGAAGCGCCCAAGTCAATGAGTGCGAGCACGCTAATATTGTTGACCCGAATCGGGTTTGGGCCACGAAATAACGGTCCTTGTCTGACAGATACAATACGTTTACGGGAGTCATAGTAGCTCGTGGCGGCCAAGAGGAAGTGCCATCTATTTTGACGCATGCCAACTCAACTGGAGTTGGCGCTGGTTCGGTAAGGAGATGTTAAGGACGGTCTCAGAGTGGGTCGCGCAATTGTGCGCCAAGAGAGAGCGCTCGGCTCGAAAATATGTTCTTGGAGACGGGGCAACCACCCCGGGTAAAACAGGTTACAATAGAGAGTAATGGCTGCCTTTAATACACGGATGGATACAATAACGCAGCAAAAGGTGATCCAAAGATCGAAAAGGACCAAGGCCCGAAGAGTAAGGTCCAAAGAGAAAATGGCGATGGGCCAACTAGCCCGGAAGGTGCGTGTTCACTCGCCACCCTTACCTGAGAAAGGTGTTCGGATGAAACGCTGGACCAAAGTTCTTGCCACTGATGATCTTGGACAAGTTTACTGAGGTTAGTCAGGATCAAATTATGGTAATTATTATAATGGTAAGCGGAAGCGCTAATAAAGCAGAGGCGTTAATGCTAGAATGCGGACCTACATTGCGGATACTAGAGAATGGCACGACTTGGGTCTCGCCGGTCAAGGAGTCGAATTTATGGTAGGAGGAATTGTGTGAGAGATAGAAATAACGCACTGCGGAGCAATCAGCCGGAGAGGCGTTCTGAGAAACGACTAAGGTAGCCGGGTCAAGGTATGAGAAAATGGCCTGACCGCTGGGAGGAATGATCTTAACTTGAATGGAACAAGGGCAAAATGATGCGCAGGGATAGCCATGCACCGATGAATTTGCACTAGATCGCTTCCCAATGAGGTGGCAGCAATGTCGGCAGCGCCCTAGTAGATTGCGTAAGGGTAGAGTAGGCTAGCGGCAAGCGAGGTATGGAGAGCGAAGGCCAGTAGGTTCGTTCTGTCACAAAGCGCGGACAGAGCATGGTGAAAGAGCGCCGAAACTGCCGACCCTACGGATCCCTCTACCGCTAAGAGTTGCGCCGCCAGCTGGTTGGAGGTGACTATGCCAGCGTCCGCGCTGGCGGAACGGGGCAGCCGGGTGAGGGGCGCGACTGCGTACCCCTGGTCTGAGAGGATAAACTGGGCCCCACAGTCTTGAATGCGGTCACTAGCGTCTCGCCACGATAGAGCGAACTCCTTGGAGTCGCTGAATCCAGATCTCACCGAGTTGACGACCCCTCATCTTCATGAACCGGTGTAAAACGGCACGTCTCCTTCTCATTGGGAGTCCAAAGGAGTACGGACCCGTCCCGCAAGACACAATTACCGGCTTCATAGCACACTGACCGAGATTGCCAGCCGGTGAGTCTGGAGAGGTGGCCCCATGGCGCATATGGACCACTGTGCGGACCAGAATACAGTTGGAGACCGAAATGGAATGCTCAGCACAGCAGCCGAACGGGGCCGATGGCCAATCGATGACCAACGGGTTGGAAGTAGACCAGACCTCATTAAACTGCACCATATCCCCAAATTCGCACTTATGGTGCTGGATCATGAGTTTGAACGCTTCAAGAGAAACAATGACGTGAGTCTCAGTACGGTTTTCATAATGAGCACCGAAAAGATTGACCGAATAGGTCACCGAATGAGTAATAATCTTACAAAGAAAGGCCAAGTATCGTACCGTTGAGTATTAGGACGGTAGATATGAATAGAAAGCGAGCGAGGAGGCTCCTCTACACGTGGAATAATATGCGAGCAATTGTATGACGTAGGAATTCGAGCAATGGCGTCCGCTGAGTCTTGCGGACAAAGCCATGCCGAAGCGGGCAATGCTTCAGCTCATGCCACAACATAAGAGCGAAACAATAGGCAATAGAAGACTTAACTTGAGGCATAGGAAGCGATGCAGAAGAGGAATTAGAACGATTCCCAAAAGCAGAGTTTGCCAGTTCTTCATTGCGACGAACCAAGGCATTAACTCTGGCGTCGGACCTTTCCAAAGCCGACTGATTTTCTCGCAGGGAAATAGAAAGAGATCGAATTTGTTCGCGAGCTTCCGAAAGTTCGTGATCGCGTTCACGTCGAGAAGGAGAAACAAGATGACGAGAAGAGACATTGGAAAACCCACGATCACGAGAAAAACTACAAACGGACCCACCTGTATTCCGGCGAGAGTCGCGAGGCGACGGGCAGGAGCGAGAAAATGGCCGATTCCACCACAGTTGAAGCACGTGGGTGCCGAACCCAGCCTGCGCGGCTGAGGCGGAGGATTTCCTCTTGTTCTCTGAAATGAGCGCGTTGAACCACGATTAAAAAGGAACCGAAGGTTGAGCATATTGAAAACCCCTGGACTCCTGTCTCGGAGGCGCTGGTCGCCTTGGAGGAGCGGCTGCCTTCACCTCGATTGGCTGCGCCATCTGGGATGGGCGCATCAAGCGGTCAGCTGTGGCCTCGGCTAGAAGCTGTTCGACCATTTGAGCCTTAGCCACCGCTTGCTCGAATGAAGCCGGATTGTCGAGCTTGACATAGTAGCGAATATCCGGCCGAAGGCGTGCCACGATTGGCTGGCCGTGTCTTGGCCGGCCGTTGCCGCTCGGACTAAAAGTAATAATCGGTTAGCAAAAGTGGAGGAAGACTCACCCATCTGCTGCTGGCATGAGGACAGGGCCTGACGTGCCATGTAGCGGTGCTGCGGACCCTCGAAGGACTTCCTCAAGTGAGCGACGACAGCTGAATAATCGTCGCGTTCTTCCTCTGAAAGTTCCTCGACTTTCTCCCTAGCCACACCGTCCAAATACCCTGTAAGAAAGTAGGCCTTCTGTTGGGAAGTCCAAGAGGTGGACCTCATCCGCATGACGTCCTCCAAGCGGTCCGGTGAATGGGACTACTCTGGGTAATGGCCCCTCCGGGCTCACGGTCGCGACCACTGGAAGCGCGTTTATGCGCTCCCGACCGCCTCAAAAGAATGATTCAAGTCGGAAAGGAGGTTGGAGTTACCTTCATTAATCGTCTGCGCCAGCCGAGAAGTCTCGGCTTTAGCCTCTTCCCTCGCCTCGGAGATGGCGAGTACCGTCGCGTCGCGTAAGGTCTTCGCGTCCTTCCCGTGAACGTTGGCACGGTCATCTAAATAAGATAAAGCGCCTGCTAGACTATCAGAAGCAGACATATAATCACTTGATCTGGGTGTCAGGGCAACCGCCCTAGAATCAGCAGAGTGAGTACGAGAGCGGGTCACAGGAGGACCCATGAACAAGAGCAGTAAGAGCGCAGCAAGTAAGAACGTAAGCCAAGTAACAGATGAACAGTTACGACAATGAGAGGGTGACTAACCCTCTTATTCACTTGGTTGAGGGCGGGGACAACCAATGGGGGCGGGCTACCGTAATCCACCCTTAGGCTGGGATACCCAACTAATCATCAAGAAGGGAATCTGGAATGTGTGAGATAAGAGAATATCCCAGCTCGAGAATGAAGGGAAAACAATGGAAAGAGAAACATGTTAAAAGAAAACATTCCAGGCTTATCTATCGCGCATGAGGAACCACCAATGTTTATAATGGAAATGGTGTAAGGGAACGCGAGCATGAGTTCTAAGCGATGAAGAAGTCACGCGCTCGCTGAATAACAATATCGGAAATGGAGGAGAATTCGCTAGGGAAGACTTTGAAAAGAAAAGATAAGAAAAGATAGTAAAAGAACGAATAAATCGGAGGATAGAGATAGACCGTCTTATTAAAAGAAAACCAACCTGTGAAGAAACGAGTTGACCAGCGGTCGTTGTACCGATGCCAGAGGTGAGTGAGATAGGTGGGGGCGGTCACCGCCTGCTATATGCCAGAAGGAAGAAACCTTACGCGGCGTGGACCAGCTCTGGCGATAGTCCCCCTTATTAGGTTGGTAAGTGTTGACGGGCGCGGCTCGATGAGCTTGCCATATGCGCACAAAGGGCGCCCCGCCAAAGACCACATACTCAAAACGTGAAGAAAGACATTCACCGAACAAAGGATGGGCACCATAAACGAGTTAGGACTTGTAAACCGGGCGAAAGTTAGTTCCCATATCACTGGTAATTCTGAACACTGCCACCTGATCAGCATTCGACCCATAATTTCACCCCACAATCGCACAATTGATCTTGGATGCAGGCCCATCGGGCCTCATAAGCCTAACCAGTATAAATACAACAGCAAAGGAAATAATTGAAAATGATGTATTCATATGTTTTCTTTTTGTCCGTTTCTCAACGGGTTTTTTTTAAATATTTATCCGCGGAACTACGTTTTCATCAGAAATCGATTCTCGAAAATTCATATTCCAAAACTGACCGACCTCTCCGGAGGAACTCAACGCGCCGCCACTCAACTGATCATTTAGCGTCCCTACTCTGTTCCGAAAACGCAACGGCGGCATCAACTCTTCAGCGAACTCCTTTACGGTGCACCCATCTTCGACTCGCAAAATCCTGGGACGAACTCCATTGCACTTGGCATCAACATTTCCTCGAGGATTCCCTTAACTGTCCTTTCTTTAGAAGCTTCTGACGGTTTAAACCCTCGTCCAGGGTAGCGCGCAAACAAAAAAACGCTTAGACAAAGATTACCGTACCCAATGAACCATGGGAAAAGCTCCATGAACCCTAAAAACAAGGGACGTTAACTGATGAACTTTTAGAAAGCAAAAGGGCTTTTGACCAAAACAGAAATTTGAACGGGGTACGATAGTCTTTGTCCCGAGCCGACCGCAAGGCGAAGTTTTTCCATGTGCCAAACCGCCGGCCAGCCGCCGCCAGCGAGTGGCCATCCCGCAACGGCGAAGCTCAGCGAGGCACAGAAAGAACTTACCTGACCTACCTTTCGACACAGCGAGGGTGGAACCACTCGCTGCTACCAGTAAGCTAGCGCGAGCAGGGGAACGTGCATACGCCGTGCTTCTGCCTAGACTCTTGTACTTACTAAGAGTTTATCCTAATGTCATCAAAGAACAATAGAAATATTGATATGAGCAACGAATAAACCGAGACAGAACCAAGAATATCCGAACAAAGCAATAGAAAGGCACAAGAAAACCAATAAAGCACGACTGTATCACGAGCTGGTCTAGGTAGGCTAGGGCATCGCCCCGACGATGGAGAAGCTGGACACGAGCGTCCTCGGTCCGCAGATACGGTTGACTCTAGATGCTGCTGTTTTGATGTCGTGCACACCATTATATCGTCTATGTAGCAGAAAACTTCAGACCCTAATATATCACCTAACACAGGGTGCGTGACTATTCAATCGTGGCGATGGCTAGGTCGCCGCGCCAGCCGCCGCAGCCCGCGATGCGACGTCGGCCGTGGCTAGAATTCAGGGTTCTAGCATTGGGGAATGTAGGATTAGATGAAGTTTCCAGTCGTGAAACACGGTATATGATCACCTGCCCCTTAAAATACAGGTTCCTTGTCCCTTGCCATTATTTACAAACTTATTCTGTCATACTAATGTTATGCCTTCCTCCACTGCGTCTTGGAACGTAATATTTTTCCGATTTAGCCAGATTATCGCTCTCTGATAACAATTCAGGCAGTTGATTAATAAAGAAGTCTCATTATGTTCAAAAGGACAACCTTTACATGGCACAAGCTCTGTACAGTGAGGCTTAAATAACTGCGGAGATCTTAAGGTGACTCTTGTTGGCTCACTGATGTCTGGAACTTTGGTCTTATCAGTTCTCTAACCCCACCAGCAACTTATGGACAAGGACCGTTAAGCCAAGGCCCATACAAAAATCGCCGCACCAGCTGCCGCGCGCGACGCTCCTCGCGGCGTGACCTCATTAGCCGACGATTGAATTGACCGTCTCCCCCTAACACAGTGTCCATCATCCTTTGGAATACTTCTGGGCTGGTACTCAGCCCGAATGGCGTCATGTGAAATTGAAACAGTCCATTCGGGAGTGGCGAAGGCCGACTTCTCCTTTGCCTCTTCTGTTAGCGGTATCTGCCAATAGCCGCTACACAAATCTAGCGTGGAAAAGAAGCGCTTGCCGTTCAGACTTTGGAGAACCGCCTCCATGCTTGGGAGTGGATACGCGTCTAATTTTATCCTTTTGTTCAACTCTCTATAATCTACACGAAGTCTAATTGACCCATCTTTCTCCTCGTCCGACCTGCTCTTTTCGATTATATTCCTTGCCAACAAATTTGTCAGGAGCGCTTTCAATTTTGATCTCACTCCCAGCGGAACGGGGCGTGCTTTCATCTTAATAGGCTCACTACTTCCTGTATCAATGGACATTTCAGTCACGTCAGTCTGAGACAGCTCTCTATCACAAATCGCAAAAGCTTCCGCATGCATTCCTACGAGTTCCCGAATGCTTCCATCCAGTCCCTCGTGTTCTGTGTTTTCCTCAAGTAATTCGATCAACCTATCAACCCTTTCCTGTCCTTGCAATTGGTGCTCCTCGTTATCCCACTTCAGAGGTTCCACTTCTTCCCATCGCTGATGCCATTTTTCGGTGCTCCAGTGGCCCACTTCCTCGCCTTCTTTGAGTACCAAGCCTTCCTCACTATTATTGACTACGGGGACTCTAACCTCTCGATCCCGAATGCTGTACACGCCTGCGGTTATCCCCCTTTTCGTAGGCCATATCACACGCTCGGCTTCTTCTGCTTCCTCTCCTTTGCATTGTACTGATACCAGCGCGGCTTTGTGAGGGGGCGCATACGCGCGATATTTCACCTTTACTTTTCCTCATCGTTCCTTTCCTCTCCCGTCTGTTACCCTCCACTTCATTCCGAACTATGGATACTTCCCCCAGTCTACTGAGAGCATTGGTGCCTAGAATCAACTCCTCATCCTTAGCCGGGCTAATGTGGAGTGGTACAACGCAGCGATTTCCTCCTTCAAGTTCGGTTTCGATAAAAACTGCTCCTAAAAACTCCATTTTGTTCTCGGATGCATCGAAGACTGGAGCTAGCTGCGACTTCTCGACTAGCTTCAGGGTATCTACGTCGAATCCTCTATCCTTTGCCTTGCCTAATACCTCCACCGGTACGATGCTGATCATGGATCCCGTGTCGATGAGTGCTGGATTCTCCTCATTGAGGAGCCGAACTGATGCTACGACATGATCCCCAATTAGCGTGTTTTTACTATTTTTCCGTCATCTTACCGGCATGGCTACGCGCTTGGTCGGCTATGCTTGAGAGCGTAGCCTTTCCTCTTCCTTCTTGTTGCTCATTCTTCCCGATTTGATTTACTCTTGTGGCCCGTTGAGGGCATTCGCGCCCTATGTGCCCATATCTTGAACAGTTATAGCATCGCTTGCTTTCTGCTAGAGGGCGACTACTCGGCTCTTGCACTCCGCCTGATTTCCTTGGCCCCCCTGCTGGTGCTCTGTAACTAGGCTCTCTCTGACTATTTCTTTCCTCGCTCCCTGGTCCTCTCGATGCCACTCTTATGGCGTTCCTTCCGTCCCTTCCTTCCTGATACTGGGCTAGCCTGGCCTTCCATGGTGGTTGCACCTTTTTCCTATACTTACTCAACATTAACTTCGATTGCTCAATACTAAGAGCTAGCTGCTTTACCTCTTCATACGCCTTCTTTGGCTCGACCTTATGCAATGCACTCACCAGTTGAAAATGCTCGGGCCATCCACTCAAATTGTCCAACAGTATCTGAGCATATTCCAAGGACCGGTCTTCAAATGATCCCTCCGGGTGCGCTTGCCTCCCCAGCTTCTCCAATACCACGCAGAACTCGGCCACTTCCTGATTGGGTCTAAGTCCTAAATGCTTCAGTTCCGTCAGGGCTCTCATTCTCCCTGCAGTCGAATCACAGGCCAACAGTCGAGCCATCTTATTGGTTATTGCTTCAAATCCCTGCTCCTTAACAGCGCCAGGTAAGGCCATGAAAATATTTTTCGCTCGCCCACTCAAGTGGTCATCGCTCAGAATCTCTATTAGGGTCGACTCGCACTTAACCACTTCCTCATACTTTCTCCTAAATTTCCTTATGAACCCTTTAGAAATCCTCGTTCCTAGCGCCTTTGAATATCCCAGGATCTGGACACGTCATGGCTCTTAGATAGTTTGTAAACTGATTAACAACAGCCTCACCTGCGTTGGCCACTGCCCATTCCGTCCTTTCGGGCCTCTCCAAAGGTTGCCTCCAGGCTTGCGCACACGGATGTCCAGTCGAAGACATCGCTTGCTGCAATACATTCATTTGTGTCGCGTTTTGATTCTCTTCAGCAAGTGACTCTACTCCCGGCTTATCCATGGTCTGTCGAGTCAGCCCTCTTGACCGCGTCGTGGAGCAGCTCCACCCTATCTTTGACCTGTAACACATCTGTTTCTAAAAATTCACAGAGCTCTGCTAATATATCCCCATCTCATGGTTCTTATATAGTCGTTCCACTCTCCATTCGACTCGATCCCTCTTTCGGCCAACATCTTGTTTATAGAGACCGCTAAACTAGGCGAAATTCCTAGATCTCCCTTACCTTCCATCACCCTCCCCTCCAATTTATTTATACTCAACTCGAACTTTATCGATCTCGTGTCTTTTCTCCCTGGACACTAATTTACTTACTATCTCGCTTATCTCCCTCTGTAACTGCACCAGAACGCGCACACACTTGCCTTCTTTCTCTCCTCTCTCCTTTGCGTACGGAAGGACTCGGACTCTTACCTGACTATTAGGCTCTACATTCTCGCCTAGCTCCATATTTTCTCCAACTGATGACATCGTGGGCCTGGAAACGTCAGAGATTACTTCTTCCATCAGTGCCTTTATCTCCAATTCACGAACAGCAATCAATCAAGCGACGCGATATAAACTGACGAACACTGACGGGTTTATCCGCTATCACAGACCGTACTATATATCGGTACTCCCCACGAGTAATTCCTGCTTTCACCCCTTTCTGAATCCAAGTGCCTCTCCTCTCGGCACAATCCTAACCCTTCGATGGCTTTGATCCAATGTGCGCCTCTCTGCGGCACCACGGGCGTTCCTGCCTTAGCCCGATCAATAATCAAGAAGTCCCTTGACTAAGACTTCTCACTCAGTCAATCGTTCGGCGCCCATGTAAGCCGACTGTGCTAGAGATATCTGACCAAGTTTCGGGTTTAGTCCACAGAACACGCCGATATCAACGGAATTTATTCGAAACAATCAGATAAAAACAAGAAAAACGAACGATATGAGAACACAATTAAGCTGATCGCACTCGAGTCCCTGGGTGTCTACGAGAGCCGTGAGGAAAGTCCTGGTGTGCGGCGCAGGCGTCGACCGACAGTCCGGGTTGAAGCAGTGCCGATGAGCTTTAATGAATTACCTATCTGGCCCGTATGGCAAGGTACACCTTACACCTTATCCTCGAGCCGCTGTGGTGGAACAGAACCCAATCGCCACTTAGGCAACAATTTAGCCACTAAGGCTTAGCTGGAACAGGCGCCACTAAGGCGAATCCGAATATGCCACCCAGGCAAATGAGGCCACTAAGGCAAAAAGGGGTGAGAAGAGATATGGCACTTAGCGTCGTGCCCAGCAAACCGCAAGACAATAAAAAACACACACTAGTTTGCTCCCGGCTCCCTTTTTATGGTGGGGAACTCCCGCGCGATCGATCAATTAGTGATCTCATGCGGATCACTGCACAGCCCTTCTCTTCAGGGGCGGTCTTTCCGGGGTTACTCTTCTCTTGCCCGACATGCCCCCCTCGAAGGAATCGGTGTCCTCACCAATCGATCAGACGTCAATTAAGGTAGGTCCAGCTCAGGAACTTTTCTACTGATGAGCTCGTAGAGTTGCTTCGCTGCCGCAACTCCAGTGTACACTTTGCAAAACTGCGACGATCCTTCAGGGCTGCCTGCCTCCAAAAACAGTTTGCCCTCCATGACACAATTGCTGACCGTCACTTTGAACTGTTCCGGCCCCGCGAACTCTGCTAGCGTATTGTCGATGATTTTCCACAGTTTACTTATCGCCATCCATTTGTCCATATATGCGCTGTAACGGGGGTCCAGGCAGTGATTATTGTGCCTCCTTCCTCGAGATGTCTCTTCGCCAATCTCACGACATCCTCGATGACAGCACTGATTTCCACTAGTGTCTAACGGAAGTACGATAATCCACGTTCCGTATGACTGCCACTTGTGCAAGGTCCCTGTAGCGACCCGAACGACGTAGTCACCTTCGTGACCAGCTCACCCCTGGGTCCATCTTTTTCCATGAGAAGTGCAGGCAGTGGCACTTAGCGTCTTGCCCAGCAAACCGCAAGACAATAAAAAAACACACACTAGTTTGCTCCCGGCTCCCTTTTTATGGTGGGGAACTCCCGCGCGATCGATCAATTAGTGATCTCATGCGGATCACTGCACAGCCCTTCTCTTCAGGGGGGGGGGTCTTTCCGGGGTTACTCTTCTGTTGCCCGACATGTAATCAGGATGGAGAATGCTTTCACGAAGTAGGACGTGAAATTCTGTCTGGCAGGTTACAAAGGAAACAACAAAACTGTTTACAATACACCTGCAAAACCGAATGGTATGTACGCTTAGCATTTAGCTGAAAGGCTCTACACTTCACCTGTAAAAAAACATGTGGTTTTTCACGAAGAACACGCAACGCTAAGATATTCTGTTCCCACCGCTGCTCAGGAATGGGATCATGAGTAGCGAAGAAATGTGGCTCACTACAACCTGATGAAACGATGCCAGAACTACGAAAAAAAATCAGGAATCAAAAATTACACAGGCCACTCTGCCTGTGATCACTTAAAAAGAGGCTTACTCTCTAGATGCCCTTTACCGACACCCTTTTGCGTGTTCTATAAGCCGATCACTAAAGATGTGTATGAGGTATTTGGATGCTAACACATTGACGACATTGAGACGCGGTAACGCGTCTCACTTTGCGCACCTCGTTGGACATTGAGACGCGGTTGCGCGTCTCACCCTTGTCATCCCTTTTTCTAGCGTATGCGGGGATTCTTCCCAATTTGCTTGCTCTATTCTATGGATTACAACATAACATAACTGTAAACGACATGGGTCACGGTATGATCAAATATGCTCCAGTTTAGCAGAAGTTTTTAAGCACAGCGGAATTGGCAGCTCGGTTCATTCCTCGTTTTCTTCCTATTCTCATGAACATGTCAATGAAAAAAGGGTAGTGAAAGTAAATACAAACTCTAAAGGATAGAAAAATATATGTTTCACTTGGCACATCCACATCGAAAATAGTTTTGGCATCCACTACAGAGAAAATGACTGAAATTCCTTTTCATTACCATTACACGTTCTTTGATCGGAATTTCGCCACTATATCTTCGATTACCTTCTACGCATTGAATATTGCTGAAATGGTTTTGTACCACTGGTGCTTTAAAAAGTTATCAATCAAAAATTCACGATTGCCGAGGTGCGGCGGTCGCGCTCGCAAAATTCCCTGGTCCCACATGGCCAAAAAAGCCAAAACGCGCGCTGTCGTCATTCTGTTAAGATTGGTTTTTATCCACACACTCACAGATATTAAGCAACATTTTCGGTAAAACGGCTCAAGAGTATTACAACATACGGCCGTATCAGGCGATAGGCGTGAGATTATGAATGTAACGGCAGTCACGGCCGGGAAACCAACCCGGGCCGCCCGCGTAGAAGGCGAGCATTCTGCCACTGAACGACCGGTGCACCAAAAAAGTGGTGTCTTGCAGGCGGACGGGTGGCGCCTCTCAGAACTAGAGAGGTATTGATCGTATTGATCTCTCTTATAACAATCAGTAAACTGGTTCAGTGGACAAGAGTTTGTCAAAAGAGTAATGTATCCTGTTGCGGGCAGAACAGGTCAGATAAAGCGTGAAGCCCCGCTCATAAGGAGCGTCGACCTGGGGTTCCCGCTGCGTAAAAGGTTTGGGAAAAGCGGAAAGGTCGCTTTTTGTCCTAGTGAGGCACACCCACTGCAGAAATGGTGAGGAAGTTATCCCTTTGATATGGGTTTTTCTTGTAGGGTGAGTTGAGACTACCCCACCGAAGCTTAAGCCCACAACCAAGTGATAATCTCCGTACTATATCTGTGGTGCAGTGTCTTTTTTTGGGTGGGGGGGGGGGTTGGAGAGCGAAGTACCCTTGTTAATAGGTAACGCAGTTGTAGAGGCCCCTCTGACGGTAACAGGAAAGCGTCTGCTCCCCGCGCCCGTCGAAAGGTGAGCTTTAGACTACGCTTAAGCCGATGTCAGACTTTGCGAATCGCGCAATTCGCAAAGTCTGACATTGGCCTTAGCTCGTGTGACTGGAGCTTTTAGCAGGGAGAGAGCGCGTTGCACCGAAGGTACCGATGAGACTGGCATCAACGCGGAACTCAATTGGGAGAATGAGCGTCCCTTTCACATGTTCATGGCTGGTTCCTGGTGGTTCTTCAACTCTGCATAATTGACTACCTCAACCTCTTCGTGTGGGCAAGCCATTAGTTGTAAAAAAAAACCCTCTAACACTGCGCGCTCCCATCAATACAGCGCAGACCAGAAGAAGGCACTGTCTTCGCGTAACTTACTTCAGCTACAGCTAATCCAGCTACAGATAGCTGTTTAATAGTTGTCTATTACGTGGCACCACTGTCTTCCTTACCACCAACGAATAAATTCTTGACAAAGCGGCCTGACCTCGCTGGAAAGGAGGGTTTGGGCATTCCCAATCGATGCACTACGCAACCTTTGTATTGCTTGGAAAGGATTTTGATTTTAGCTCTTACGATTTTGATTTTAGCTCTTACGCTAAGACCAGATGCAGGTGTATTGATACAAGAAAACAGGGTTCCATTTTTCGAAGAAGTACCTTGTTTGACACTGTCAGTTCGCCTATCTGCGAATCTTACCAAAGCTCCGCATTCGTTCGCTATTTGCCCGTCAGGGAACATTTTAGTCGGAAGGGTTACCGAAAAACAAAGAGAACGGTGCGCGACTTGAACTTAGAACAAGCGAAGCCGGTGTGGCCATGGCAGTTTTCACTCTGTTAAGTCTCACCTATTCTTGTTCTGAATCGCGAAATAGGTGGGAATTCTACGACATGTGTCATTAAGAAGAGTATAAAGGTCTTCTTTTACTCCAGACAACTAGAAAAACCCTTCGATGGTCTGTGTATAGCAAATAAAAAAAATGCAAGAATTGCAGCCCACTTTTGCATGCGTCAGCACAAAAATTATGTGCATTTTCTGTGTGTGGCGGCTGAACTTTGCAATACTGAATATTCCTTTGTCTCTTAAGTATGCAGCGTCCTGTTGTGAACCACACCCCCCCCCCCCCTCAATGGTATTGCTATTTCTTTCAGTAGTCAGACCTTTGCGGAGGTTAATACATTTCAGGCTGTCTCTCGCCGTAACGCTAGCACGATCCCACCAGCTATCGCTCCACTTTTTCAATATGCGTCTGACTGTTATTTCACGCAAGGGTTGCAGTTTTCTATGGAGGGTGAGTGGTTTTCCAACTGTACGCATCGGGAACTGGTTTATTGTAGCTTTTTGAAGCCTTACATGGAGCTGGTCTCTCATGGCCGCTTGTCTTCGTAGCGTCTGGTGTGGCACTAAGGATAGCGTCATCTCCTCTGCACATTTTCGCTGAAAAATTGTTTGCTCGAAGACTACATGCTCAAAACTTTTTCACTGAAGGGATATTGAAGGTACTTCGCTTCCTTGTTCCGCTATTCCGATCATATTTTTGTTTGCTTAATATTATTTGCTCCTTTTGTGTACTTCAGAAGCTGGGCGAACACTACAAGATTGAAGTAGTTCCTAACGCCACGAGATCGAAACTGGAACTGAAAACAAAAGACTATAAAATTATTGCCCATTCCGAGAAATTGGTAAGTCGTTCTCCAGCTTGAACTGTGATCATTTTTCTCTCATTTATTTGGAAAGACTTAATATCATACCTTATAAAGCTGCACACCTTCAGTGCCTTCTCCTTGCAGATGGCGTTCCATTTATCAGTCGTACTTGCACCTGCGTCGGCTACTGCAGCTATCCACATTTGACGAGATGCTGTAATTCTTAGCTACTACCTCTACAGTGGGCCCAAAGAAATATTCTTGTTTAACTTCAGTTGTAGGGATAGCTATTAGTAACAGTCATGGGTGAGGCTCCCGTTTTCAACTCTGGCGTCATCTCAGTTTTTTTTTTCGTCAAATTTGTTAAAATATTTTTTCTGCGGGTTCACGGGCGTGACAATTCTTTTGGTCGGGATCATCCAGTCTCTATGGGTAGCTTAGTTTAGCATGAATCAGCATATTCGTGCTCAAGGGAAACTGTTCTTTTTGGTGCAAGCTGCGCCCACTGTCAGCAGTTCTTCGGTGTCAACATTTATATACTTTTTTCCGCTCTATGGGCTGTCTCGGAACCGCATTGTAATTATAAGTTCTATGGCAAACAACGCTAACTAAAGCAAACGCACTTGCTACCCCCCTCCCCTCCCTCATTTGCTAGGCTTTACTCACTTTTTTTCCGCTCTCTGGGCTGTCTCGGAACCGCATTGTAATTATAAGTTCTATGGCAAACAACGCTAACTAAAGCAAACGCACTTGCTACCCCCCTCCCCTCCCTCATTTGCTAGGCTTTACTCACTTTTCTCCCGATCTCTGTCCTTCTCGCTAGAAAGTCATTGGCAAGCATAAAAAAACTTCGTCTAATCAAACATGCATACCCGGCCCACCGTGGCTGGAGCTCTGCTAACCTAAGCTGAGTTTCGTACATTTGGCCCCTGCTCTAGCCATTCCAACTTTTTCAGTCTGTCGAGGTGTTTTTTTTTTCAAGCAATACTGAATTTTGTGACGGACGGTTAAGCAGACAGGCAGACGAAGATCTTGTATTAGGTAAATAGGATGTAATGTCAACTACGTACTTTGTTCGAGATCCAGTGTGTACAGGTCTTTTTCCTTACCAGTTTCTGGTTAACGAAACTGGAGCCAGCCACCTTCCTCTAAATTCGCTTTGCTTGACGCTATGAGCATCCACATTTTCCTAGGGTTTTGCGATTTACATTCGATGGAACAATTTTTGCAGCAAGCACTTGGAGAAAGTTGCTAACTTTTATACTGTTTGTGTATCGTTACTGACTGAAACCTGTTATTGTACTGCGAAGCGCTCCACGAATACAAAGCTTACCCGACCAATGCACTTCTTCATAATTCTCGATTTACATTTGTAATGTTTTCTAGCTGGCTCAAACAGTTCCTCGGTATCTCGGTGAACACGGTCTGCAGGCTACTCGCATACAAAACCTCAAGATGTGCACAATTCCTCTGTGGATATTTTCCTCATTCGCCATAAGGAACGTTATCAGCTGTGAGATAATCAATTTAATTCTATTTTGTGTTGTTTATTCAGTAGTTTCCTTCTTTTTATTTCAGCAGATTTTCATCCCAGCATCGCCGGTGGGCTTTGGATTCCCGACATGCTCGTTCCTGATCCTTACTTTATTTTACCCATTGCAGTAGGAGTTTTTGGGTTCTTGAACCTTTACGTGAGTTCATGTGGTTATTTGTCCCAATATTGCGATAGTAATACATATTGTATACTTTGCTTGGGTTTCGAATCACGTTTACGTGTCGCTTCTACCCACTCGATATAGAAGCATTTACTATACTTATATATTCTTCTTGCAGTCACAACGGAAAATATATCCAATTGCGATGAGTACATGGAAAACGCGGTCCTATGATTTTTGTCTGGGCTTCTTCACGCTTTTTGCTGTAACCATCATGTCGCAGTTGCCAGCGGTAAGCGGCTTTTTGCCTACTCGTGTAAGATCGCTAATTTAGCCTCGAGAGTCCTTCATTGTGGCTAGTGTCACTGGACCTCCCGTAAGTAAAGTAGAACACGTAACAAAAAGGGCAGAGGTAATGCCCTACTGCTTTTCTTGCTGGCACTGTAAACTTGCGAAATGGGTCTGATGGCATTTGTCAATCAAGTCCGGGTGGTTTCCTCTATGCGTCCTTTCCTCCATTATCCCTTCTTTTGCAGTCAAAACAATAACAAAACGGTCAACCGTTCGTTTGACTGAACCAGACGGATGTTGTGTGGAAGGGTTTGTTTGACAGGTTTTTTTTCCTGAATTTGAGGGTAGTTCGGAAAGAAACGCGTGATATGGACAAAGTAATAGCATTTGCCGTTTTTTATTAGACATTTTTTTGCTACCCACCCCCTCCCTTTTTTTTACTCCACTACAAATTTGGAGGAATACTGGGACGGAGTTGAGTGTGTCGACTGGTTTCAGAACTATTAGGTTGAAAAGAAAGTTCTGCAACACTCTTTCTAAAATTTTCTTTTTTTCTGAAAAATTCATAGGTAACATTTATGACTAACAAATGGTAGAGCATTCTCGAGGCTTCAATCCACGAGGTGGATATAAGTGCTGCAGTCAGTAGTTATCCAAGAAAATTCAAAAAACCTCGACCACTAGTAAATCCATACTCCGAGTCACTGTCTAGTACAAATGTCTCCATAACTATGGATTCGTGTCAAAGACCAACACTATCTGCAATAGCTTCAATAGGCATGCCGTTCACCGCTACAGCGTGTTTCACCTTTACCAGCGCTTTCGATCTTTTGATATTTTTATAAGAAGCCAGCAGCGTCCACACTCCATTACAGGTAGGGCTCTTACGGAAGCTCCACTACAAATTCTTCGTTATGGGCACCATTGTGTAGGTAGAGGTCTAGGCTGCGGAACTCCAGAAGCTGGCCGAGGCAGCTCGTCAGGAGCCCTCGTACCGCGATTTATTTCTTTCATGACATTGCGAATCACCATGATCCGAAATGAGCCCGGTAAGAAATTCTGGAGCTGCGGCAAGATTTCTTACCTCTCTTAGCGTATTCCCCTGGTCGAGCTATAAATGACTGCTACCTATCCTGGACCTTAAATCATCATCTTGATGACGATCAACTCCAACTCGAAAGTGAGGTCGCCTCCTTTCTCGACCCGCACTCCGCTGGGTTTTGGCAAAGGAGCATCAAGAAATTTTCTGAGCGTTGAAGACAAGTGGTGGACACTCATGGTAGATATAAGACCGGTCAGGAGTTGTAACCAAAAAAGATAAAATTAAAATCAAAAATTTGAAAAAGTGAAAATTAAGATCAAAAATTTGAAAAAGTGTTGCAGGGCTTTCTTTCCAACCTAATAGAAACACTACGGTGAGAGTGATGGTCGGGAGTGGTATGGGGAGGGATGTGGGGACATGGCAAAGCTGCTGATGGTAATTGGGATCATGCCAAGATCCCCTAAATGGGCGGCACCAAAGTTTTTAGTCGTCCTGATGCAAGGTTGACCGTGAGCTCGAATTCTCATCACATTCAGCACCAAAGGCAACTAAATTCTGACTTCATTTCGGACATTTCATTGGTTTTTCCAATTTTATTCACCCGTGGGAGCTGCACCTACAATTCAATGTTGTGTTGCTCCCTAATTCCTTTCGTTGTGGAAAGTGCCCCTAAAAATAAGTATGCCCATAACGCATTTTTTTTTCAGTGCATACCGTTATATTGGCTGACAGTGTCGGTTTCTGGGCTAGTTCAAGCCCAACTTCTACGTCACCCAAGTGTGAAGAACCTGTTCGGCATCAGTCGCCTGCCGACTGATTCAAGGACGCCATTCAGAGACATCTTCTTGTCGAGACGCAGTTGATTGCTGTTTAGCTGTTGTTTTTGTAGTTGTGTTGTTCAGATGTGTTTTAGAGAAGTGATGTACAAAATTCAAAAAGTCAGATGTAAATTTCCATGTTGTTGTTCTCTTCATACCATATCGAGAACCTGTAAATAGTTGATGTCTTGAAGAAATAAGTAATGCGAAGGACATTAATTAAATGAATGGTTTAGTGATCATCCCTACTATATATAATGCGCTAAGTCTGTCTGTCTGTCCGTCTGTCACGAAATTCGGTATAAGCGAACAACAACCTACAGGGTCCAGGTCAAGTTTGGGATGGGTGGGCCATATCTCGAGAAGTACAAAACATACATCAGCTAAGCGGAGCCCCGCCCACAGTGGGCGTGGCGTGCATCGAAATGAGTGGTACTGAGACCAAGATTTCAAATTCAGTCACAAAACAGCCTCGAAACTGGGAAAAAGTGGGTAAAGGTGTGCATTGGTAAGCCACATCGAATTAGGGAGACCCACCCCCGGTGGGCGGGGCGTTCTCCAAAAAAGCAGTGCTTTATGAAAAATTTCATAACTCGGTTGGGAGAAAGCCTACAGAGCAGAAAACAATTGGTGTAGGGGAGCAATGTCTAAGGTGTTCCCAGCATACATGACGTGGGCGGAGGCCCGCCCACAATGGGCGGAGCGTGCCCTGAAGTGACAGCGTTTCCTACAAGTCCTCATAATTCGTTCCCAGAAGTCTTAGAGAGCGGGAAAAAAGTGGGTGGAGGTCAGAGGAGGAGGTGAGGGTCAATGTAAGTGGTGGGCGTGGCGCGCACAAAACTGGGCTGGGTTTGCTATCAAAATATAAGCCCAAGGGATTCTGGAGACCGAGTAAAAAGTAGATAGTAATCCTCGAAGGAAAAGAGGTCAACTGCTACTGGTGGGTGGAGCGCGCATCCAATGTGGACGGAGTTTGCTCCACATGAGCGTTCGCTGCACTAAATTCTTTCCTGTTTTCCTTCCTTTTCATCCAGGGTTTTATTCGGTGGTTGTGATTATCAAAGTTAACTTTCAAAACATGTGCTGAACGTCGCGGCAAAAGAATTAGTGAGATGCTTCCGTTAAATAGGGTGGAGTGGCCTAACTGTCAAAAAGAAAGGGTTTGCAGAATCGATTGCGGAGATTTGATCGATAGGCGCGTTTTTTTTTTTGCATTTTTCCTGGAGCACAACAGAAAGTACCGTCCCCGAGAAAGATCCTCAACAAGCGAGAAGTGTCGGCTGCGGACCGTGCACCACAAGTGACGACGGTTTTCACAATACCCCTTTAATTTTTCTACTATTTCGTGATACAACCTCTGTTTCGTGCAGCCAGAAATCCACGTGGCACACGTGGCTAAATTCTCGATGAAAAGGTGACATCACGTGTGCTCAAAGATGTTCTTGAATCGATGCCACGTCAATTTCTGCAATTGCACAATTTCTGGTCTTTTGAAGGCGAGGGTACAATGTTCGGATGTAGCTATACTCAGCCGTCTTTATAAGGCTTGTGTATTGCCACATGTTGAATATTGTTCACAAGTCTGGAGCCCATGTTCTAAGAAGAATATTGCAAAAATCGAAAAAGTACAGCGTGTATTTACAGGCTCTTAGCGACGTCTATTCGGCGACGGATAAGCGATGGAGCGATCCCGATCGCTCCATGGTTGCCAAGTGCGTCTTGTCGCAGCGGTGCGCGCAAGCGATTGCGCATCGCTGACAGTGAACACGACGGCAATGGCCTGCTGCTCGTCGATCCGCAGCGACGGATTGACTGGGGGCGGGCAATCGCCGGGCGCTTGTGCCATTTCGCATCGCTGTTGCACTCGCTCGACGAGAGCGATCGGCCAAGCGAGGACAGCGAATTGTAAGCGGATGCGCGATCGCTGGGAGCGATCGCGAATTTTCGCCTCTTTCTCCTATTCATCGCGTTGGTCCGTCGCCGACTATGAGTCGGTTGGGGTACAGACTCACTACACGCGATCGTCTCAGTAATTTTACCCAGGTTATGAGAACGGACTAAGAATGTTCGGTTTATTACGGTTCCCCTTAGACCGACGTCATAGTCGGCGACGGACCAAGCGATGGAGCGATCGCGATCGCTCCATCGCTTGTCCGTCGCTTGCCAATCGCTCTCGGTCGAGCGATTGGCAAGCGATTGCGCAATGTGCACAAGCGACGGGCGATTGGCCCCGCCCCCAGTCATGCAGTCGGCTGCGGTATCGATCGAGCAGAGCCATTGCCCGTCGCTTGTGCACTTTGCAAGCGATTGCGCAATCGCTTGCCAATCGCTCGACCAAGAGCGATTGGCAAGCGACGGCCGTCGCCGACTATGACGTCGGTCTTAGCGCGCATTATCTGACCTTGTTTTCTGCTTTCGCATCCTCCGAGGAGAATCGAAATTGTGTGCCAGTCAGTATTGGATCTTCAGACCGACTAGTGGGAGGCAAGGAAGGTTCAATCTCCATTATGCTCGCATTGGTAACAAATACCGCTCCTGTTTTTCATACGTGGTGTTGTCGCAGGCAAGATGGTTTAATTTGGCTTCCCCCAAAAATTCTTGCCTCTGTCAATAGTGCTACTTTCAGAGAAGTTTGGAAAAGGTGAATCTTGACCATGTTCTAGGTTTCTCTCAATAACAGATCTCCAATCTTAACTTTTCAGCTCTCCGCTTATTGATGGAAGGATAGACTATTTGGCTGAATTTTTCTTGCCTCTTTACCAGATATCGTCCATTTTCTATACTCAATCGGCCTCACCAGCTGAACATAATAAAACCTAGACCTGAACCATGAATTCAGTGGTTTTACTTTACATTAATTTATTCAATGAATGTCATTTATGTCACTTGCTAGGTTTCAGGTAATGCTACTGAACCTGCTTCAATCAGCTGTATCTTTCTGTTTCTCTTCAATTTATTTACTAACCACAAGTAGTACTAGTCCAAGAGCTTGTGACAGAAAATATCATCCTTTCACTTACCTTGCCGTCATCCGCGGTCATATGATGCAACTTCCTTGTGTCTTGATTTGAGTGCGGGTGAACAAGTAACTTGATCTTTATGACAGTCCACTTGGGTCTGGGTTTTACGCCTGGGTTCGTGATTTAGTCAAGAGGTCTATTTGGCCGGGGGCCGGTAACTACGGTACTTGCGTTGCGCCGGATGACCACGTTCCCCTTTTATTCAGGCCTTACGGCTTGCAGAAAACATTTGAAGCGATGACAAGGCAATGCCCCTTACATTTATTTAATTTATCGAATAACACTTTCGGTAATCAGCGAGATCTTGGTCTGTCTCGGTACTACTGAATATGTCATCTGCAGGTTGATTATATTGATGCTCTCAGCCGTACCTGGGTGTTTTGTACAAATAACGGTATTGGGATTCGATTTCTTTAAACATGGGTGATGTTGGTTACTTTCTGTTTATCATTATGGTCTTGTCGTCTGTTTCTTTCGTATTGCGGATTCTTTGTTCGTGCCCTGTGATTTTCAGGTCTACTATAGGCTTGGTGGCGGCACTTTGTCAATAACTTCGTATAATGTATGCTATACGAAGTTATAACGTGTTAATGTTTTCTGCCAATGAAATGATTAGCCTGTTGCAGTTGTATTCTATCGATTGTCACTAATTACAACTATCATTTACCAGAAATCAGCTATCACTATGAACAACTTCTAACCAGATTTACTTGGAGGCCGTCGTCAGTTGTGGTGTTTGGTCTGCACCCGACACTTTCTCGCTTTTTGAAGGGGAGGTTATGTAGATTGCCATAACCTTTAAGCTGTAGTTTTGATTTTTGATAAATTTCCCTCGGAATATTTTGTTTTACGCTGTTTTAGAGTGTGCTTTCACTGATTGAAATGATAGCAAAGATAGCTGTTCGGTCTTCCAGGCATGCGCCATACAATCAACATCCTTTCAGAGTCGCAAACCCATTTGAAAGGACCATATTTGTGGGGTAACTGATCAAGCCAACTTTTGTGTTTCTAATTTATTAAAGGCAAGATTCAGGATTAAATTGATGAGGTATTCCACTCAAATGTGAAAGTAGGGGTAGGACCGCCAGTGGAGAAAAAATTGTGAAATACACAGGAAATACGAGCCTTTTGCTCTACGCTGCGGAGAAGTTCAAAAGGCCGGCAGGGAGATGAGAGATAATGTGAGCGCGGAGAGCGCTAGAGAAGTCCGAGTAGAGAGAGCATAGCAGATCAACATTGCGACGCAGACAAGATATCGAGCGGTGGGCGGAGCGTGTCGCAACAGGTGGAGCGTGTCAAAGTTCTTAGCGCCTAGCGTCTAAATAACGCTTTTCGAAGTAGGGAAGTGACGCGACCTCTGCACTTGCGCCTAGCGCTTCTAGCCACAGTAAAGGCTCACTAGGTGGGTGTGAGCCCGAACATTGCCTTTAAGACAACACAGTAGCCTTAAACTACCGCATGGTACTCGTAAAGACTGTCGCTTTCGATTCACTGTTGACCCAGCTCAGGCTCATTTTCTGCTATGAATTTCAGCAGCTCACTCTTTAGGATCGTGACATTGCCATACCTGTAATCAGGGATGTTAGATGTGTATGCGATGTTGTAGCTTATAGCTTACATTATCCTTGCAGGAGGAGAAGAATTTCTTGATGTCGATGCAATCGTATCGTCGTTGCCACTCATTCTCTGAAATCTTTAA